ATCGGTATCAAACTCGGTCATGATAGTGATGTGAATATTGCTTTGGAATATATTTATACTATTGAAAAATGCATGTGTTACATAAAACATGCAGGGGTTGTTTGTTGACAAACTGTGCACACTCATGAATGCATTCATTTCCAACCCCCCTCACACACAGTTACCATGGCTGCACCCTCAATGTGCCCCCCACATGTCATTGTATCACTGATCATCAACCTTTCTCGAATGCTGAGGGCAATCAGAGTGAGCCTGACCTGACCGATGTCGGCACTGGCACACAGACACACACCTGTCTTGTAGATATCACACACACACACGCAGCTAAATAATGACTCCCTTTAAAACACAGAATCTGTCATTATCAAAAATGTAAGAGCTCATCAGCATAGGAATAGTTCCCAGGAGCACAGTTTGGACTGCTGACGAATGAAGTTGTTTACTTGTCCTGTTTTATGTGTTTACGTGTATTTGTGCTTGACATTTTGCTCCAATAGCAGCATAGACCGTTGCTAATGAGCCGATGTGTGAAGTGAACACCTGTGGGTGAAAAACAACCTCAAAAACTGAAAAGGATGATGGGTTTGAGGTCACCATGCCTCAAAAAAGACCTGATAGGCGGCAGCTTTTAATGGCACCTCTGCATGTAAGCCTCTAGGCTTTTTTTTTTTTTTTGACCACGGCCCTGTAAAATTAAATTTGCACAGACTTAACAAGATTAGATTCAGCATGTTTGCGTGGTGACTGCAGTGGAGTAGTCAAGCAAACCAGTGATGGTTTGAAAAACGTACCTTTAAAGTAAATTCATGAAGAAACAGCATTGGTATCAACATGTTTATTAGTAACAAGGCTAACATGCTATCGCTAATATGCCCATGTGAATGTTTTTGACTTACTCACAATTTGCCCTGTAACAAGTTGTTCCTGTGTGGACATTTACAGAAAACATTCTGTAAAAGTTCAACGGGTTTTCAGTCCATTGCCTCACCTTTTCAGGATGTTTTTTCATTTGTTTCTTACTTGAAGCTGTGAATCAGAAAGGCTTTTGAGTGCGAGGGATAAAACCTTGCTATGTCTAAGTGCAACGAGGCTATGACATCATATTTCATGTTTGGCCCTTTTGTTAAAAGCAGATTGAAACAAAGATACAGGTTGTTTCCACTTCCTTACGTGAGTGTATTAAGTATGTACATCAGTGTGTCATCAAGTTTATAATATTTAACGCTATATATGCATCAATTCCAGTAGCTATATCAACTATGACACGTCTATTAGGTCCTGAATCAGGTAACACCTGGATCTTAACTTCTTCAGACAGTTTTAGATGTTGTTCAGCTGCTGAAAATAGCAAGCCCTGTACTTATGTCCAGCTTTCTCAGGAAGGCACTGCATATCAAGGTCATTAAAGTGCAGTATGAGCATTACGTTCGTGGAGAGAGGTGCACTCGCCAGGTGAGTGTCGCCATGGTGCTATAAACCAGAACGTGGCCTGAAGGTCAGTTGACCACTCAAGTGGAAATTCAAGGAACGTTCCAGATAGATGCTCGTGGGGCATCAGGAAGCAGCAGATAAGTAGACGGCAACCACTTCAGGACCACAACATCCTGACTCTCCTGTTCTTGAAGAAAGAGAAGTCCTGTTTTGATGAAACAAGCAAACAAACCAAAAAAATCTGTTTCTGCACTGTACAGATGGAAAGAGATAAAACAAAATGTTCAAGTAAGAGAGAACTGCTGTGTTCTTGTGGATCTTCGCAACGAAACGGTTCAAAAATACATCAGACAGTCACGCTCTGTGTTTCGTCCCTTTCTAGTTCTCTTCCTTTATATTATTATCCATTTTACATGTCGCTCTGTTTGGGCTGTTAGTTCTGCGACTTTTAACGCTGTCACTCTCTCTTATCGTTCTTGTCTCAACACCTTACCCATTTCTCCAAGATTCACTTTTCACTTGGTGGCTGTCTGCGATCTGTCTTTTTTTTTTTTCTTTTTGCTTAGGCTTCTTTGTTCAAAAACTTCTGTATTCCTGGGTTCACTCAGTGAGTATATTAAGAGCACTTCTGGAGGTTTCAGTGAATAATACATGTCTGTTAAAGCAAACCAAAGCAGGCAGACACAGATGGGGGAGAGAAGACTGAGCTGAATATAAAGTTTTCATAGGATGTAAGTGTGGAGGATATATTAGGATGAAATATGAGCAGACGGTTTTGTTATTAGGCAGAAAACACGAGAGTCATTCAATCTAATACATTCAGACTCAAAGAAGGAAAATGTAAGAAAATCTCCTTTTTATTTATTTTTTTACTCTTTTCTGTGCACACAGAGGCAGCACCGTTCCAAAGATTTCCATACATCAACATAAATCTATTGTTTCACCCTTAAGAAGTGAATTTGAACTGTTATATCATTGCCTAAATAACAATTTCAAGGAATTTAAAACAAGAATTGGATGCACAAGCACCATGTTTGGGGTCAACGATTCTATCAGATTATAAAATCATGGACAAAACTGCCGAAAATCTTAACCGCAGTTGAACTGAAAATCTGTGAAATATTCTTAAAAGACAGGATCATGACAGAAAATCAATTGATTTAAATAAACTCTACCATGTCTCCAATTAAATACTTGTTTTAGCCATCAATACACCCTAAAAAAAATTCTGACGCATCATTAAAAGCCCTAAGTTAAAATGGTGACATGTAATACACATTCATCAAGATGCTATTTATTTGCACCAAATCTGACAGAAATGAGGGTTCAGTCTTGCCTCGCAGTCAAATGACCTCATCAAATTTCTCAGAATTATGGGTAGTGACACTTTGCTCACAGGTCTGTCTCGCTGCTTGGGGCGTCGGGTTAGTGACTCATGCCTCCCTCTCTAATGCGCAGACACGTGCTCTCACAGAAAGTCCCAGACTCACACAGCAGCCGGACCACAGGGTAGCTGACATTTAGCAGTGAAAGAGAAAGCAGTCAGAGCTGAGGTGGAAAAAAAGATGGAAGCAGCAACCACAATGGTGTCCAACACTCACAAAAGCTTACGGTCAAAATGTAACGGGCCTCATTCTTAAGCACTTAAGCGAAACGTGTGCAGGTCAGGCAATACCGTAATCCAGGGGTGCCCAAAGTCGGTCCTGGAGGGCCGACATCCTGCATGTTTTAGTTCTGTCCCTGTTGGTAGTAACAACCGTTTCAGGTTGTCAGTGTCCTTAGGCCTCCATCATTTGGTCGAGGTGCGTTAAACCAGGGAGAGAGCTAAAAGACGCAGTCATTGAGAACCGACTTTGGGCAGCAAATCTTTTGGCAACACCTTATTTGAAGGGCTGTGCAAAAGACTAACATGACAAAACAACGGTCATGAACTTGAAGGAGTTTTTATGAATGTTTACAATTGTTGTCATGAAGTGTCATTGGTAAATAACGACACTATTAATGCAAAGTTACAACTTTGCAATTAAAAGTCAATTAAAAGCGTACATTTTGCATTATTCTGACAATGAAATATAATTTCAATGCAAAATTCTATTCATTCCAAAATTGTTTGGAGGCATAGTCATTTTTGTGGATTTAAGGTCCTTTTATTTTTTGTATGACAATTTCAGAAATTGGCTTCCATACATTCATTTGGGTTCTGAGCATAAAATATGAATACTGAGTAGAGTTTGTGGTAGTGGTATTTTGCTTAAACTGTCTTTGAGTGTAAATCTTACTGCCAGACCACCAGACATAATGGATCAAAGTAAATCCATATAGATTTTTTTCTCTACCTTTTCTCTCTGGATCCATGAATGTTCACATTGCAGCTGACATAAACAGGCTTTCTGTGGTAATAAAAAAGGAGAAAACCTAGTCAACTGCTGAATATTTGATCATTCACCAGCACAGAATAAATAATTTAGAAATTGGCCTTTGCATGTCTGTCTCTCTCTCTCTGTCTCTCTCTTTTTTCTCTTTCTCTGTCTCTCTCTCTCTCCCATTGGAGACAGTTAAGGTCTTTAACCATGGTGTATTAAACACCTGTGATGCCCTTTAAGATGCCCTTAAGCCACTTCTTCAGTGGAAAATGACCGGAAAATGCCTGATGACCGGTTCCACCGCCCTTGCTTGGGCAGGGTGATTGAAAGGAAAGTCATTTGTGACGGTTTTGCAATTTATTGATTTCTGCCCTGTAAGTGCAAACCAGATGACATGTTCACAGAACAGCTCCGTCTCAGTGGGAGCAAACATTGTTAAGATTCTTGGAAATTTAGGTTTATACTTTAAAGTAAAACCTCACCACATTCTGTCATGTTACGTCTTGAAACTCAAATTTATTTAGAGTTTCAAGTCTAAATAAATGGCAATCTGCTGGTCTATCAGATAGACCAATGCTATATGGCAGATAGCATTGGTCATACATTGCACAACTAGGAAGTGTAAGAATAGCGATGTGTGGCTTAATTTATTTTCTTTACTCGTAAACAAATGTGAAATGTACTTTGCACATGCTTTTGCTGCAGATGCAATACGTAGAAAAAGGTTTATTGTTTTTATTTCAAAGTGGCTCAAGTTTTAATTCTATGGATTACATTTGTTAATATTGATATTCAGTTTTTTTCACAAATTCTGAAAAAAAAAACATTAATAAATACCTGCGTTTGCTGACATTATAGCGTCTTTATGCTGATACATTTTCTCATGATTAAACCTGAAAAATGACTTCTTAACTCAAATATTTAGTCGTTTAGTAATCCAATTGGTTAGTCTTTCAACTTTGGTCGTGCCATTTATAAATGTTTATGACTTTATCTTGTTTTATAATAATAAATATTACTGAAAACTCACTGCATTGTGCTGAATTAAAGTCATAACTTTGTTGGTGTAAAACTAACTTAAGCTTTACTAGGTTAGCAAAGAAGAAGAAAAAAACGTTGTTTTCAATCCAGCAGTTTAGGCAATCCGTCGCTTGTGTCATTGCCGGATCTTCACCAAATCACGGGATGGGGTAGAGTGAGGGGTGGAACCGAAACTACGACATCCTGTCCCGTCAGGAAAACAAACCGGATGCGTGTTGCGCCGCGTATGCCTTCACGGGGCTTCCTGAATGATTTAAACCGTTTTACATCATCGGCCTCACCCTCCCTCCTCCCTCCATCCCTCCCTCAGTCTCTCTCCCTCCTCCCCTCCTCCATCCTGCGCTGCCTCCCGCTGATGCGCCGCGCAAGCAGCCCGGAGATGCTGCTGCTGCTCCTGCTGCTGATGTTGGCGACCGACTGCAGCATCCGACATGGGCATCCTGTAATCCGGCCGCGGCACAGTGAGTGTTTTTTTCCCCTCCACTTCTCTCCTGCGCACCCTCACCAGCGACGCTTTTCCTAAACTTAGCTGCTATCTCAACCATCGGCTGTTTTCCCATCTTCCTTTGTGCAGTTTTCCTTTTTTTTTTTTCCTCCTTTCTTTCTGTTCATAAGGGGGTGGCGCATAAACGCGACGGAAACAGCGAGAGCCCGTACTGTTTTAGTAACAGGGAATTGTCCCTTCCCGTCACTACACCCCACCCAAAGTGATGTTTCTTTGCGGAAGAGGAAGGAGGAAAGAGTTGAGGGTGGGTGTCGCTTCTCCCAGCGGACTGTGGCTGCAGCAGGAAACTGTACTGCTTGTACAGCGAGATGCCCAACTTAAAAAAAAAAAAGAAAAAAAAGGTTGACATAAATAATTGAAAATAGTTTTGATTGCAAGTGAGCATATTGGGTGGGTAAACGTGGAAAGTAGAAGGAGAGAAAATATCTATCTATCTATCTATCTATCTATCTATCTATCTATCTATCTATCTATCTATCTATCTATCTATCTATCTATCTATCTATCTATCTATCTATCTATCTATCTATCTATCTATCTATCTCTGTCTGTTTGTAGGAAACATACTGTGCATCTGGATGCCTGCGTGTGTTTATTTGAGGACAAGAGCACTCAGACACTGACAGCCTCAAGCAGTCAAACTAGGCTAATCCCTAATGACATGGGCTGATCTCTCTCTTTCTCTCTACCCCCCTGCCCTCTACCTCCATCTATCTCTTTTTTGTTTGTTTTTTTTTCTAAATTTGCCATAAGGTCTTGTCTCCTTCTCGTCCTTTTCCTCTGCGTTCTTTGTTTTACTCAGTTGTGACGACGTGCTGTCCATGGTGCTGAAAGCAGATGGCTTGGTGATACGGTGTAGCTAGACGGGCCTGTCACCGCTCAACAGGTGCCACAGACAAGAGGCAAGGATTTTGAAGAGGGCGGAGAACAAGGTCGCGTTGGGAAACGTTTTGGTGGACATTGTGTGTTGTGCCTTTCGTTCTGGAAAAGGGCTCATTCTAGAGATCTACCAGGAATTCACCAGTTGATTTGATCAGGCATGGCCTGATCAAACTATCAGTGGGCAACTGCAAAGTCAAAGTCACAATCTTTTTCCAATCAGGGAACAAAACAGGCAAAATTTTCTGACGCTGACAGAACTCAGAGATTTAACTGAGCAACATTTGGATCTCAGGCCTTGCACAAGCAGGCACTTTTAAACAATTCTCTCTTAAATATGAGGCCCTCCCAAGCTTTAAAAGGTTAACAAAACATGAACAATCAAAAGAAAGAGACATATGAGTTAAACAATATGTCAAATCACCTGATCTGAGAGGTACCAATACTGTCTACATTTAAGGACAATGAATAAGCAGTATTATGAATAAATAAACCAAATTCTTAAGGTTGTCCTCTTGCATGGTTTATTTTTTTAATTATTTTTATTTTTTGTAGTTTTCCAACACATACAGGCCCACATGTGCAAATGAGGCAATAAGAACAATCAGTACTACACAACAGTGGTACCAGGTTGTGGTGACAGCAAAACTCTTCATTGTTGAAGTTGCTACTGAGGGCAGGAGGCTCAGAGTTAATCATCATGTCAGTATCTTTAAGCTGTTTCAAATGAAGTATCAGAGACATAAAATATTATTTATTTCCTCAGATATGTTCCAGAGATGTCTTTGATCACTTCCTCTGGGAGAGATAGATAGAGAGAGACTTAAGACAAATAACACAAAGGTTAAAAGATCTACAGCAAAACTGTTTTGTTATTTTGTGTTTTAAACTCTCTTTGTGATGAGGGATGATGGATTGCAAGATGAGATAATGTCTTGCATTCTCCAGGGATGTTAGCTGCACCACTCTTTAATGTAAGTTGAAAATTTGTTTCAAAACATCTAAAAACACAAACCCTCAAATTTGTGCCTATCTTGTTGAGAACATTACAGAAACCTGTAAAACTTAAGAAATCAAAAGACACAGCGATCGCCTGTTAGGACTTCACCAAAACAAAAAGGATTTGTTGCAGAAAGAAATGTAGAAATAAAAGAAACATTATGACCCCCATGTTGATGTGATGAAGATGAATTTGCTGAAGCAATGGCAATGAGAGGCAGAAACAGATGATTACATAACCACCCAATTTAGCAACTGCAGTTTGTCTCCCTGAATATCTCTCACATAAAGTCCCAGGCAGCTTCGGCGACACAGAGAAGAAGACAGAATCACATGCAGGGCCGGAGGTTTATAATGCAGCCGCTGCTTTTTAAGAGACAGTTTCATGCCTGGTATGTGTGTGTGTGTGCCACAGTGTTGACATGAGTGTTGCACTGCAGTGTCTAGCAAAAGAACTGATACCAGATCCTTCAGACATTTTGTCATGATAAAACCACAAACTTTAAATTGTTCAGGAAATGGTGATGTGAAAACTCGATGATCGTGTTGTGGAGTGTGCATTGACAACTTTGCGGTCTCTAAATACATAAAACAGAAAGAAAGAAAATGGGAAAACTTCTGACTTATGAAAACTTGGCTGCCCACTTATACTGGCAGACTGGATATTGAGAAGATTTGTCATAGAAAAGCAGTCTGGATGCTCACGGTAAGACAGGAAGTGTCATGTTTCTTCAGGGTTCGGGTTTCGGTTTTCTTTTTGTGGTTTCAATCATATTCTTGTGGGTTATTAATGTTCCATTGGACTTGCTATATTCTGACTTTTTCAGTTTATTATTGCACTTTAGGAGTTGCCATATTATCCTTAATGTTTAGTTTGTTCTTGTATTTATCGCTTAGATTACTGTCTGTTTTTTTTCCTTTTTGTTTCTTGATCATTTGAGTCTTATTTTATCTCCTCTGTGTTAATTAGTCTCCTCCTTCAGTCTCCATGTTTTCTTGTTCCCACAGCTGTACCACTCTGATTAATTTAGCCTCTTCTCTGGTCACTTTATAATCCCGCCTCAGTATTTTAAGCTCAGGATTTTGTGCAGTGTTGAATTATTCTCTTATTTTTGCCTGACTGTCTGAGTTCTGTCTCCATAAAGCTAAACAAGACAGGGGACAATTCAGAAATCCACATCAGTCTTCAAACCTTTTAAAAATTAGCCACAACAGAACAACTTCCAAAGAAATTCCCACTATTTCAGATAAAGCAAAAATAAACTTATAGATAAAAGGCATTGTGAATACTAACACAACACCAAACCCCAAACCCCAAACGTAAAACAGGGCGATAGCGTTGACTCATTTCTTATTTCCCAGAGCTTATTAACATGCTCAAAACAAAGGAGAGAGCCTTTGCAGAGGATTGCTCTGTTCCTGCATACATGGCTCCACAGTCTGCTTTGAGGAAACCTCCGACCTTCAGACTCTGCTAGTCGTTGAGCATCCGTCCCATAAATAAAAATGTGTTTATCAAATCAAACCAAGTAAAGTTGCAGAAGGCCAAGGCTTGAATTTGCTGAAATCATTTCAGATGAAAATATTCTGCTATACCACTGGCTTGTATTTTTTTTTCTATTAGAGTCCAGTGGATTTTTTTGTTTAAAAAAAGAAATTGTTTGTTGCTTTTATATAAGATACATAAAAAGAACCAAACGGCCTAAAAGAAAATTGGTTGTGCCTGTTTGGAATAAGAAATGATCAGTTTACTATAGACTGGCCCTTTTAAATTGCGTTGTTTTTGCCTCGTCTAACTGGATACGTGGCAGATGCTACAAAGACACGTACACTCATAAACTCTTATTTATGAATGGCTGGCAGACGCCCACTTCCTTTATTCCAATCAGAGACTGGTTAGGAATGATGTCAGAGGACCTGCCTGCACATAAAGGTGGGATACTCACATTGTGTTTTTGCTTGTTTAATGTTTATAAGTGCACACAATGAAGCCTCCTGTTACAGTAGACTCTAAACAAGACAAAAGGAAAAGAAAGAAAAACAGAAATTAAAAAAGAATCCAGGATTAAATCCAGTGGGTTTGATGGATCTGATAACTACCACAACCTTTGTTGCAAATGTACAGCTAACTACTCAAAAGACCGAATAGAATATTATGGTTACTCATTTTAATTTTTAGCATGATAAAAAAGTATATTTTTTCTGGAGGTTTGCTTTGGCCTTCAAACGTAATGTCATTTTAATGACTGTGCAGCTGCGTCTGAACTGTATCATGAACAATTCAGTCCAAACAGGAACTTTCCTGATAATTAATAGTAATTGTACTGTAAATTTTAAATGTCAAAAAACAGCATTTTATTACCTTACTTTTAAGGCCATGAAAAGTCATCAGAGATATCAGACTTATCTTTAAAAAGATTGCAAGAAAGTAAAAGAGGGTGGAAGGACAGAGACAGACAAGCACAAAGCCCTCTACTGACAGCAGACTAAACACAGTAAGCAGGCCAGGCAGCAAGACCTCATTTGCTGGAAAGCCATGTGTAAGATGATAAACAACCCACTGTCAGAGAAGAAGTTTGTAAAGATTTGCAATTGAAATAAAGGAGACATGGGGTAGGTTAGAGAGCGTGATGATAAAGAGATGCTCTCTGACAAACTGCTCGTCAGTGACAGCAATGAGGTAAGCAGTGCTTCTGACTGAACAAAAAGGGATGAAAACCTGAAGAGAATATGCCTAATTTCCTTCACAAATTGTTGTCTTACGAATGAACGTTCCACAGAACAAAATAAGTAGTACTGTGTAGTCCTTTTAAGTGCTAAATGACCTTGGTGTTCATTTACCACTTGAGGGTAAATAGAGATGTCACCATTATGGCTGGTGAGCTTGGAGCCCCAGGGAGTGGCACTGTTGTTTCTATTTATCTTACAGTCAGGAGGCAGATTTACTTTGCTTTAAGCTTCAAGCTGCCTCTGCGCTGCAATAAGGGAAGACAGAGGAGGTTGTGGCGGCCCAAACTGTGATTAATCAGCTTTGGAGACAGAGCATTTATGCAGAGCAACTGGTCTGGGATCACTGTC